TCCAACTTAAGCTCACTGTCCCCTCCCTAAAACGTGTTCCTCTTCTCTTTATGGGCTAGTGACTCCACCATTCCCTCAAGCCAAAACTCTTACTGCTTCTCTCCAACCTCTTCTGGCCACTCATTCCACCAGTTCCACTGCAATCCCTCAACACAACTTTCCAGATCAAAGAGGAAGCCCGGCACTGTGGACTCCGCTGTGTTTCAACAGAGGCTGCTTCCGTCCCTGCGTTGGCTCTGTCAGGCCTGCCTGCCTTGGAGTGGCTGCAGAGTTCCACATCATTCAAGAGAATGATGTCAGTGCCTAGCCTCACTCCTTTAATGCGTCCACGGGCTTCTGGGGGCCGCTGTGGGAGGTCAGGTGTGAGGGGTGCATGCTATCTTGACAGATGTCTAGCATTTCTCATCTCCTAATAAGCTCTTGGAAAAAGCCTTTAGATCTCTGTCCACCCAAAGTGTGGTCAGAGAGACATCATTGAGAGCTTGTTAAAATGCAGAATCCCCTATAAGAATGACTCAACGTGCATATCAAAAGTTTGAGAAGTGCTGGCTAGATGCTTTACAGGAACTGGATTTCTCAACTCCCAAGACACAGCGTACCATTTCAGATCTATGTCTTTCAAAAGCTGTACCATCTGCTGGGAAGGTCCTATCAAGCCTTCTACACCTTGCAGGCCTACACTAACGTAAGAGCCCCTAGCACAAGAAGTACCTACATAGTAGGCCAGAAACAGGTCATTGATTGGATCATTTAATCAGCTAACAGATGAGTCTTGGGTTCTGAAGAGCATTCAGGTGGAAGTTGAATGTTAGGCAGCTGGAAGCAGAGGCCCAGAGTTTAAAGGAGAGGTGAGGTGAGCTGACAATCTTCCTAAGTCAGTAGCAAACTATTTCAGAGGTTACAATAATGAATAGGTGAGGTCACCCAGGTTTAAGATGGAGACTGAGAAGACGACGATGAGCCAAATGGTGGGAAGGCTGACACTGAAGGGACTTATTGTAGGAGGCAGTGTAAATCAGATTAGCAGGGCGGGAAAGGACCACAATAGGCGCCCAGGAGCTCCCCCAAAATAAATGGGTCTGGCACCTGTGATTGTTACCTTTGGCAACTGAAGCTGGGGCGGGGCTGGGGGAGGGGGTTGGTGGGGTGGGAAGTGGATCAGAACAATGAGGGCAGAGAGAAAGCAGATGCTTAACTTCCTTAGCCGAATACCTGAATGGGTCAGGGCTAGTGAAATGACCACTGGATGAGAAGGGAGAGAAAAGAGAAATGCAACTGACGAGAGCTACGTCATATACATGAGCCTAGTGGCAAAAAGAGGTTAAAAACGTGGTTACACAACCTTTGCTGAACATTGGCCAACTGCCACGAGCCACAAGCTAACCCTGGGACTTTAACAATAAACAACGCAGGTAAGGCCCCTGCCCTTTGACCCGGCGCAGGGAGACACATGGGGTCATTGATGGAGATCCCGTCACACACAGGTTAAGGAGCCAACGTAGGGTGGCTCCCCTTGTAGAAAAGGCAGTTTCTGCCCTGGTGGTCGGTACAAAGGCAGGAATGTCAATGGTGAGAGGTCCATGGAGGGATAATGTTCACAGCTAGCAATCCTTGTTGTTAAAAGACGCCAGGAAAACAAAAAAACATTTCACCTCGCTCCTCAATAACTCTGAGATAGGAGGACCCCGACTCTTGACACAAAGTGAGTGAGGCACACAGGAGGACAGAGGCCTGTTCCATCCAGGGGCTAACGAGTGATGGGGAGACCGGAATCAACGACCGGCACATTTTCAGTTCCACTCACGCTGACAGCGTGGGACACAGCAGCACCCAAGCTCTAACAAGATGGCCGGGCACTGCTGCTCTCAGGGCCCAGAGCCACATCAGTCTGCAACCCAGTCTGAGCCCTGGATCCTCAGGTTTTCAACGAAGATAAAGGACTTAAAGGGCAAATCGTAAAAAACGTCCATACTTGGCACACAGCCAAGACAATAGCACCTTCTTAATAAACGACTAATAAGTAATAATAGGAATTTAGGACGTGGATTAGAGTAATCAAAGAAGAAAGTATGACCTGGCGAGAGGCACAGTTACTTAAAGTGTTGTGCCAAGACAGGGTGCGGATTCCATTTCCAGCCAGGGCACACACAAGAATCAACCAAGGAATGCTTAACTAAATGGAACAACAAATCAACCTTTCTCTCCCTCTCTCCAATCAATCAATTAAAAAAAAATTTAAAAGAGCAAAGTAGCTGCTGGGACCGGTTTGGCTCAATGGATAGAGCGTCGGCTTGGGGACTGAAGGGTCCCGGGTTCGATTCCAGTCAAGGGCATGTACCTTGGTTGCGGGCACATCCCCAGTAGGGGGTGTGCAAGAGGCAGCTGATCGATGACTCTCTCTCATCGACGTTTCTAACTCTATCTCTCTCCTTTCCTCTCTGTACAAAATCAATAAAAATATATTTTAAAAAAAATAAAAGAGCAAAGTAGCTGCTTTTAGAGGCAGAATAGCATAGTTATAACAGCAAGAATGAAGAAGGAAATTTGTGATCTTGGCAGGTTACAGAATCACTCCGTGCCTCAGTTTCCACACCTGTACAACAGGAATCATCATAACACATACCTTCTAAGGTTGCTAGATAGAGTGTAGGTGAAGCCCTAGATTCTAGGGCCTAGAACAGTGCCTGGTATTTAGTAACTGCTCAGCCGAGGCTTTAATTTTACGGCCATTGCTACTGCTCTCCTACTACTGCCTACCAGTGCTGTGGTATGCCTGGTTGCCAGTTTGGCAATTAAAATGCATCCAAAGGATTTCTACCAGCAACCAGAGTATGGTACCAAACTCCTTACATCCCACACAGAGACAGCTAGCTCCAGAGGAAGCTCTACCACTCACAGCACTGCAATTTTTAAAACATATTAAGTCCCCACCTTGTTTTGCCAACTGCAGGATTATGCTACCACTCAACTGGAGTTCTTCATAAATTTTTGAAGTGGCAAAAAGTAGCTGAAGAAATACGCAAAACCATACATCAATCACATAGTTTTTGAATTGTCTTCCATGCTGGAAAATTAAAAATAGTTGTCTGGCCCCAGTTGGTTTGGTTCAGTGGATAGAACATCCGTCCCCTGGACTGAAGGGTCCTGAGTTCAATTCCAGTCAAGGGCACATACTGTGGTTCCAGACTCCTCCCCCGCCTGGCAACCAATCCATGTGTTTCTCTCACATAGATGTTCCTCTGTCTTTCCCTCTCTCTCTTAAAAAAAAAAAAAAAAAAAAATAGCTGTCCAGTTTAGCTAGATGTTCACCCTCCTATACACTTGATGAGCAGAATGGCCTGTGTGTCAAAATACCTTTGTTGGTGATTTTGCCTATTAAAGTGAGGCATCCAGAAAAATCCAATTATCCAAATACCCCTAAAAAGATATTCTCCCTCATGGGTTGTTCTTCTACTTTTCTGGTTTAGATGCAGCCTAAGATATCCCCTCTCCCCCAGAACACACACAGGGTGAGCTCAGCTTCCCCTTCAGGTCAGCCCGGACAGAACAAAAATGGGAACGGACCACGTCCACCGGTTCCTGACCCTTCCCCTTTCCCAGAAAGCTCTGCTTTGGAGATTCCAGCCAAGGCAGACCGTTGTGTATCAAAAAGGTGGAGATAGTGCCTACAGACTCACAAGGAAGATTAGACTTGTTAATAGAAGGTGGATCCCAAGAGTAATGCTCACAGCTGCGGCATCCAACAATGGAATTACCATTTGAACAGGAAGTAGAGAGCCATCCCCCAGCAGAAAAGGCCACCTGATCCTGCTGCTTTCGAGCACTCACAAAAATTATCCTTCCGGAGGCTACACAACGTGCGTCTCCTAGGGTCCCACCCATGAATTAAAAAAAAAAAAAAAAAAAAAAAAAAAAGAAGAAGAAGAAGAATCCTTTGGTGACAAAATGAGACAAATGCATCTTTTGACAAAATCAGTTGGTTAAAACCCTGACCCAGGAAATAGACCCGCGTTTTCCAGGACCAAATACCACTGATTCCTAATGGCATACATTTTTTTTAAATGACACACCATTGTTAAAATGCCCTCTTCTCTTTTCCGACCCGAGAAAGGCACAGCCGAAAGACACCCTTGGCAAATCCTTCGGGAGCTGCCCGTACTAGTCATCACACCCCATCTTATCTTCAAAGTGAGGCTGATCACGAGGTTATGAATGTCCCCGCGCACTTTGCCCCGCAGCCTGCGGGGAGCGAGCCTGCCTTTCGGCAGGAAACCCACCTCGGGTGGCCCCCCGGCTGCTCCGCGGCGCCGCCGCCCGGTGCCCGGTGCCCGGCGCGCCGGGCCCGCCTCGGGGACCAGCCCGGGGGGGAGAGGGGAGGACGCCGGGCCCCGGGCATGCGGCGCCCCTTTCCCAGAGGAACCCCCCGCCACGGGCGATCTCGGGCTCGGCGTCCCTGTAATCATGGCGTTTGCAATACGGTCTCCCCGCTCGGACGCTCCCACACCTGCACTCTCGCCGCCCTGGGCTTCTGGAAACCGGGGAGCCCTCCCTGGACGGACCCGGCGCGGAGGGAAGGGCGCGAGCAAACAGGGCAGAGCCCGCAGCGGCCACAAAGGAGGGAGCGCGGACCCAGCGCGCTGCGCCCACCCGCCCGCGGCGCGCCCTGGGGACCCCCGCCGCGGTGCCCCTCACCCTGGGGCTCCGATCCCCGCTCCGCCGCCGCCGCCCCCCAGCCCCCTGCCGCCGGGCACCCCCCGCCCCCCGCACGGCTGCCTCCGGAGCCCCTCCACCTCCTCGCCTCGCGCACCCAGCCAGCCCGGCAGAACCAGCCGGCGCGGTGGCACCCGCGCCGCGGCGCCCCCCAATCGCGCCCGCCCCCTCCCCCCGCGCCTCATTGTTCCCGGGCGGCCGCCGCCGGCTCGGGCGCCCCGGGCGGAGGCTGGCCGGGCCATGGGGTGGGGGGGGAAGAACAGGAGGCACCGCACCGCCGCCACACTCACCGGCGACCCCGCACAGCAGCAGGAAGCACCGCAGAAGCGCCATGGCTGGCGGCGCGGCCGTGCGCGGCGACTGCGGGGAGGACCGGGGCTGCGGCCGGGGCTGCGGGTCTCGCGGCGCCTGGCGCGCTCCCGCCGGCTGCCAGCTGCGGCACCTCTGCACCTCGCGCCGCCGCGCCCGCGCTCCGCAGGTGGAGCGCGTCACTTCCGGCCGGGAGCGTGGGGTTGCCATGGCTACCGGGGGGGAGTGCGCGCGCGGCGTGCGGCGCGCGCGCTGGCTGCACCCGGGCTGCACCCGAGCTGGTCCCAGCCGGGAGCTCCCGGGCCGGGGGCGCGGGGCGTGCAGGGGAGCTGGTGACATCCGCGCCTTCGGGGACATCGGGGTCTTCGGGATGGGTGCCCCGGGGTGGGGCGGCTCCTCTCCCCCCCAGACCACTACCCGGTGGTCACGCCCTGGCTGCGGAGGCGACCGGGAGCCACACTCGCCGGCTCCCGGGGATCTAAGCGCAGCTCCTGCCTCTCCCCCCCCCTTCCCCGCCCCCTCCGGCCAGAGCGGCTTGGAGCCTCCGGCCACGCGTCCCCACTCCGGTGCTTTGCTGCGGGGGCGGGAGCGCACGCCTGGCCTCAGGCTCCGGGGAGCGAACCGGGCAGCCCCAGCGTTTGTTCCCGGCTCGGGAGTTGGGTGGGGATACATAGAGAAGGATCTAGAAGGCTTTCCTGCAAGGACTGAGCCGCTCAGCTTCAGCCACGGGTTCGAGAAGTCCCCAGACGGCCTTCCCCGTCTAGTATTTCAAGGTGGACCTCGCCCTGAAATTGGCCAACAAAGGCTAGGGAGCTCAGAAGCGGGGCTGAGGAAGGGTGGGGAAAGGCTGGGGCGTGGAGGGTCCGAGGGCCCGGGAATGGGGCTTGGTGAGTTGCCAGCTCAGCCCTGCACTGTCCAGGGTTGCAAACCACCAGGCTAAATTGTTAATGTGGTCTTCCTGATTCTACCCTGTTTCCCCGAAAATAAGACAGTGTCTTATATTAATTTTTTCTCCCAAAGTTGCGCCAAGTCTTATTTTCAGGGGATGTCTAATCTTTCCATGCGCTAGGTCTTATTTTCGGAGGATGTCTTATTTTCGGGGAACACAAGTAGCTCCTGGCATTCGCCCTACGTGCCCCTGCATCCTGTTGCCACCTGTTTCTCAGTTGCTGTTTTCAGATAACGTTTATTTATAGCTGCTGGGACTTTTGTGTTCCCGGCGGTTTTATATCGGGACTGGGTTACTGGAGAGGAGGAGCGTTGCGCCGTGGGTAATTTCCTGGGCTCCGAAATGGGGCAGTCACTGGGCCAAGTTACTTAGAAAGTTAGCTCCTACCACAGTGGTAGCTGGGAAAATTAGAGGAGATAATGAAAAAGAAGGAGGAGGAGGAGGAGGAGGAGGAGGAGGAGGAGGAGGAGGAGGAGGAGGAGGAGGAGGAGGAGAAGGAGGAGAAGATGAAGATTGCTGGAAAATTAGAGGAGATAATGAAAAAGAAGGAGAAGGAGAAGGAGAAGGGGAAGGGGAAGGGGAAGGGGAAGGGGAAGGGGAAGGGGAAGAAGAAGAAGAAGAAGAAGAAGAAGAAGAAGAAGAAGAAGAAGAAGAAGAAGAAGAAGAAGAAGAAGAAGAAGAAGAAGAAGAAGAAGAAGAAGAAGAAGAAGAAGGAGAAGAAGAAGAAGAAGAAGAATGCTTGGCAGAATAGTAAATACTTAATAAAGTGGAAGCTAATAAAAATAATATTGGAACATTCTTATTCATTGAACCAGAAAAGAGAAGTCAGCTATCAGGAAGACCAACATTATTGCCTAATGCGATTTAGCCTGGTGGTTTGCATCCCTGAGTGCACATTGAAATTATCTGGAGGAAGTTCACAAAAATAGCAAAGCCCAAGCCCCACTCTAGAGATCCTGAATGAACGTCTCTCCAGTGGAATCCTGGCTGATGGAAGGCAGACAGTCCAGGGTAACCACTGGGGACTTCCTATTGGTTGAAGAAATAGGAATTTTACTGGATATAATTGAAGGTATAAAATACATGTAACTTGAAATTTGACGACATTATGCTTTATGAGATTAGAGATTAAGTATTAAAGTCGTTCATATCTATTTCAGACTGTTTTATGGAAACTTTTCTAGGGTTAATTTACTTCAAAGAAGCACACTTGCTATAAAGTTACTACTCGGAGTGTCTCCTTGTGAAACTCACCCTTCAGGGATCATCTCAACCATTTATTAGAGGAAATATTTACAGATCACCTAGGAGGATTCTCATCTTAATCTCTTTGCTCTGGTACTTTAAAACACACACACACACACACACACACACACACACACAATTCCATCTTTGGGCTCCTTTTTTTTTTTTTTAACATATTTTATTGATTTCTTTACAGGAGGGAAGAAGGGGGAGAGAAAGAGATTTAGAAACATCGATGAGAGAGAAACATTAATCAGCTGCCTCCTGCACACCCCTATTAGGGATGTGCCCACAACCAAGTACATGAATTGAACCTGGGACCCTTCAGTCTGCAGGCTGACACTCTATCCACTGAGCCAAACCCGTTAGGGCTGGGTTCCTTTTGTGATAAGCATTCTCATAGCTTACAATCACTTCTCTTACTCTGAATATTTCTAGGAGGCCAAAAAGGCATATTATTTATCTTTGTCGTTCTTGGAAGTACAGCCCATTATAGCCTAAGTTCCCTAGTATTTGTTGAATATATTCAATTCATATAGATGGTAGGCAAAAGTAGATCTATACTGCTCTTTTGGAAAATACAATAATTAATAAAATAATACAAGAATAAACTGTTTGCCGGGCTGGTATTGCTCAGTGGTTGAGTATCAACCTATGAACCAGGAAGTCATGGTTTGATTCCTGGTCAGGGCATATGCCCAGGTTGCCAGCTCAATCCTGTGTGAAGCATGCAGGAGGCAACTGATCAATGATTCTCTCTCATCGATGTTTCTCTCTCTCTCTCTCTCTCTCTCTCTCTCTCTCTCTCTCTCTTCCTCTCTCTCTCTCTTCTCTCTCTCTTTCTCTCTCTGTCTCTCTCTCTCCCCCTGCCCCCTCATTTCCTCTCTGAAATCAATAAAATACATATATTTTTGAAAAAATAATTAACTATTTCACATACCATTCACACTGTAGACCTACTTTTGCCAACCCCCGTATTAGTGTATTGAAAAAAATATCCACGCAATAACTCACAAATTATTACATCAATTTATCTTTTCAGAATGTACTGAAAATGTGTATTTTGCAAAATTACTGCTTTATACTTCAGATTCATGAACACATCATGTTTGGACTTTGTGAGTACATTAGTTCATGTAAGCAGTAGCTAAAATTATGCAGTTATCTGAAACTTCTTAATTGCTACCTTAAAAAGCCTTTGTAGCTATTATCAGCTTAGAAATTTTGTTTCTTGGAAATTGTAATGAAATAATTTCATTAATTCTGGAAGATACATATTGATCATTTGGTATCCTCAAAACAAGCTAAGAACTAGCACACAGAGCCCTGGCCAGCAGGGCACTTAAGGCAGGCAACTGATATGCCTCTCTCATATCTATGTTTTTCTCTCTCCCCGCTCCCTCCTATCCTTTCACTCTAAAAATGAATGGAGCTGAAACCGGTTTGGCTCAATGGATAGAGCGTCGGCTTGGGGACTGAGAGGTCCCGGGTTCGATTCCGGTCAAGAGCATGTACCTTGGTTGCGGGCATATCCCCGGTAGGGGGTGTGCAAGAGGCAAATGATCGATGACTCTCTCTCATCGATGTTCCTAGCTCTCTATCTCTCTCCCTTCTTCTCTGTACAAAATCAATAAAAATATATTTTAAAAAATAAATAAATAAAAATGAATGGAAAAAATTCCTCTGGTGAGAGTTAACATAAAAAACAAAACAAAAGAAATAGCACTCACTCATTAAATGAATTGCCCTGTCTTAGTAAAACACCAAGCACTGCACATTGTATAGCCTCTAATCCTGTGGTCAGCAAAATGCGGCTCGAGAGCCAAATATGGCTCTTTGGCCCCTAGAGTGTGGCTCTTCCACAAAATACTATGGCCTACGCGAGTCTATTTTGAAGAAGAGGCATTAGAAGAAGTTTAAGTTTTAAAAATTTGGCTCTCCAAAGAAATTTCAGTCGTTGTACTGTTGATATTTGGCTCTGTTGACTAATGAGTTTGCCGACCACTGTTCTAAACCAACAAAAAGCTGATTCCTGGCCCGTCGGAAGGTGATAATTACAGAGACATAAATAACTCCATGCTTCTAAAGATTTCTCAGCAGTAATGGATTTTTCACCATACCCACGGGTGTTTCAAATTCTGATTATATTCAGAAGTTGGCTTGCACTTTATTAAAGGAGTTTTCACCTCTTCTCAGCCTGGAATATGTGAAGCGAGAAACTTTCTTTCATACCTGACACTGATGATATTCATATTTTCTAGAAAATGATAGTGCTGTTTTTCCACTATCGAGAAATGAAGGTTTCTCACAAGTGTGTTCTACTTATATTACCAAGAACATTGGTTTTGTTCTAATCGGTTTGGCTCAGTGGATAGAGCATTGAGTCTTGGGTTTGATTCCTGTCAAGGGCATGTACCTTGGTTGTGGGCACATCCCAAGTAGGGAGTGTGCAGGAAGCAGCTGATCAGTGTTTCTCTCTCATTGATGTTTTTAACTCTCTGTCCCTCTCCCTTTCTCTCTGTAAAAAATAAAAATAAAAAAATCAATAAAACATATTAAAAGAAAAGAACATTGGTTTTATGGGATAATACCATCCAAGTCCTCTTTTTACTCTTAAGCAAATGAACTTATAAATACATTTTTAGTTTATGGCAGGTATATTATATTTATAATTCACTCTTAGCCAGTGACCCAGAATTTTTTTTAGTTCTTTAATAATTTAGATTCCAAAATGAATATGCAAAAGTGATGTTTATATAGACCAAAACTGAGGATTTGATTGATGGCCTTTTAAAATGCTTTATCTGCCCTAGCTAGTTTGGCTCAGTGG